CGGGCAGTGTGTGTTGTTGTGAAAAGTGCAGAATGCCTACATGTTACATGCGGTGAAGTTGTCGTTTTCTATTAGCAAAGGTTGCTTTTCCGGCTTGTCTGAAGAGGCTGGTTTGAAATCAAGACGGGTTAAAATAGTTCCATTTGTGAGTGTAGCAAACCGTCTGTATGAAGAGTCATACAGACACAAACCATGTGTTACCACTTTAAAATGTCTCATATTACAAGTTACTGGCCACATTTCACTTTAAGAATCAAACTCTTGTAACGTTTAGTTTGTCCTGAAAAAATACCACCGTCAGCATTTGGACTACAGGATAAAATATAATCTTCAAACAAACCAACGTCACTTTCTATGTATGGCTAGTACAGTACACCAGCAGCGTCTGTGTTTTCCACAGAAGAAGGTCATAAATAGGACCAGGACAAACTGAAATAACCAACTTATCATGGATCCAGTCGAACCAGTTAGCCCCACCAGGCCTCTGCTTGCAGGACAGATACCAATTAAAACAAACGGCAATAAAAAAAACAACAAACACGATTAATGGTACGCTATTAATTGTGACATATTAAGGTGTGCTGTTGGGAGGTAATGATCAAATATTTAGAACAGAGTTCCTTTTTGTTTTCACGGATGAAGTCATCAAATCTGTTTAGGCAATTTGTAGAGCTCTAAATTTGCATTTCATGGGCCTTCTGCGCTGTACCAGCAGTGCCAGCCTCAGCTGGTATCAATTAAAAACATTTATTGCAGTTTGCATTATGAACAAATTTATTATGCTTATCACAAATTGTTTCGGCGTGATTATTCATGTTTCCATTCTTGCATCATGGCTTGCGTATGGTCAGAGAAATAGTCTGGCTAATCTTTAGTCCTCTGTCTTATCTAAATCATCCAAGTTGTATTCGTAAGGTAGAAAGTCAAAGACCAGATCAAAATGCTTCATAACCCAGCTGGCATCTGTCCAAAATCTCTTGTTAAGCGTAGTGTTTACAAAAAACAACACATCATTCACTCACAGTGATCTTCACTGTTGAGTACAATTCTTGTGATCTGGATGTTCTCTTTTCAGAAATAGCTTTGCTTCGCTGCCATTTTTTATGATGTTTTTAAGTTGCCCAGTTACTGGAAGGGAAATACAAATCACTTAGATAGTTGAATTAATTTTCTGACCACTTGTGAGATGGCCATTTCCCCTGTACTTAGTTTCATTTTTGAAGAGAAGAGCACCCAAATGTTGCAAATTTGAATATGAATTTTACAAAGCATGACTGGGTTGCAAAATCACCATCATTGATTAGAAAAGCTGTGCTAATGCTTTACTGGCATCCATAGCATTTCTGCTAACATTCCCATTTAGCACTGTAAATTCTGGTTTTGCAAAATACTTGCTCAAAGACTCATATCTGACCACAAGTTCAGAAACCTCATCTAATGCTTGTGAATCAATATCTCTGGCTGGATCTTTTTTCTGTTAAGCTTCCTCTCCAAACCCTCACATGATTTCACAGCTAGGCCCTGCTGTAAGAAAAACACACACTTAAATGGCAGTATTTAGTAACAGCAGCAAAAAAAAAACCCTGCTTGGTTCCCGGTTAGCATGTATAATTAATGGACTGGTGCTGCTGGTCCTTGTACTCTTTTTAAGCTAATCCCCAAAAGGCCATGTGTCCATTAAAGCCCTGCAACAGTCAACACCCTGGAGGATAAATATGGCCGAGTACAGCTCTCAGACACCGTCAATGCCCAAGCTAAAAAATAAAAATAAAAATGAAATGACGGTATGATTATATGTCAATCATTTCATGATTTCTTTGTTTCTGTCGTATTTAGCAGAATGGCCACTTTCGGTAACTCTGGTTTACTGTCAGACGTGTTCTGCATTTAAGAATTGACTGATTCGACTAAATTATCCTCAGCTGATAAGAAGTAGAAATCAGTCAATAATCATTCTGATGAGTAACAGTGACGACCTTTCTCACTGTTCATTTTAAAAGAGCTAAGTGTTCAATACCTATAACCCTGCATAGAGATGCACCAATCAAGCTTTCAGTGGACAATACTGATTTTCTTTAAGGTATGACCATACATGATGTATTTTTCCAACTGAGGACTTTACGACAGTAGAGAGCATCAACATACATGGTGTTGGACATGTTAAGGAGGAGTTCCTAATTTTGATTATTCCAATACTTTTAGTTACAATGATAGAGCATAGTCATTCTGGTTGCTGATGCTCAACACATTAATCTGTCTACTTGACAGTAGTAAGATAACACTTTTAAAAAGTGGTTGGCTAAGACTCAAAGACAGAAGCTAAATGCATTTCCTATCTTTAAGAGTCATGCATTTAAAGTCAAGCTGCATGCTTTAGAGATAAATAACAATGGGGCAATAGTTGTGGTCAGAAGCCCCTAAACAGGGGACCAGTAAATGCAAAGTGAATTGCATTGCATGTCACGCTCCCTCATGTGGTTATCCAATGGGAGAGGAGTGTTAGAAATGGCAGCATAAGGATGATAGGTCAGCACCATTTGATGATAGCAGTACATGACTAAAGGACAAGTGATGCCAGAACTGTAAATAGGTGTAACCAAAGCAAGAGGAGAAAATTTTAGTTGTGAGTGATTTAGATTGGTAATAAGAGGTAACATTTCAGAGCTTAAGCTAGAAAATACTGGTGGTGACAGAAAAATTACCCACAAATTTAAAGGGTGGAGTTGCAAACAGTAACTTCAACTATTTATGTGATCACATAAAGTGAGCCTCATTTTTCAAAAACTGAATATTTGAATAATATCTAGATTTAAAATGAGTGGTGAGACATTTTAGAAAATACTGTGTTTTATAGCAGGATTTCAAGGCACAACACCTCAATGTTTTATTACTGTAAATTCTTTCACTACCTGGACAAGTTTTATTTTCTCTGGACCAAGCCGTAAAGATATAGAAGATGGGAGAGGAGAATATTAGAACTGAAAGATCTCAAAGTATATGTGATTCTTTTCTTTGGAAAAAAATAAAATAAACTGTAGGGTTGGATTAAATTTCTGTCCGGCAGTGGAGGACAAATGTTTACCATTTTTCAATGAAGAACCACATGGCAGTAACATCTTTCTACAAAATATGACATGTTATGTAACTGGACCTATTTACTTAATGTAAAACATGCTGAATCCAATTTCATCTGGATTTGTATAAGTGGGTGTACCACAAGAACAACATCCCAACTTTGCAGTTATAACTTGGTAAAGGTATGTTTCATTATGCTAAATCCCAACAACACACCTGCTGCCCCATTAGAGTTTAGCTACACACTAACTTGTGTCTAAAATCACTACAGGCCACTGCCCTGCTGACTTATGGTTTTAGCTTCAGAATACTGCCTTTAATATGGTCAGTAGGGTTAAAGTACAGGAAAACATTGTCTTTGTTGCAAAGATTTAGCTGTCTCTAGGATGGCTGTTATAATGATATTGAGTATATATATTATATTGTATCGTTTAGTTTGCTATGTTCCGAGTTATGTACTTGTAGTTGGTTTCATCTGTGGTGTTTAGCATTTATTGCTGCATGTGGATGAGTGTTCCAACTATTAATAGTTTTGAGCGAAAGTCCACCTTGGTCAGGACACCCTCACAAGTCATTTTGTGCACAAATAATAAAGTACAGTAATAATTCATTTTAAAAAAATCACTAATTCAAGAGCTCAACTCTTACAACACCGAATTTGAGGAGTCAAGTTAAGCAGGGACACTGAAGCTAGAGTTGTACCATTCACACACTCTTTCCTTGATCTGCAATCACCAGCTAAATGACCAGAAACTAAGTGCTACTTTCAATTTAAGTTAAGACATAAAACAGTCCTTAAAATAAAGAAAATCAAATTTGGTGCAGAGTACTTCAAGAAAAACAAAATATTTTAACTTTTTCACTGATCATCCAGCAACACTAGTTGTACAATTGTATGTCGATGAAGTCTACATCTCCTGCATTTTTTTTTCTCCAAAGGCTCTATAGTACTTTGAGACCTAATTATTGTTTCTAATGGCATACTATGCAGCATATCCCTGAATAAACAATGAAAAAAGTGCCTATCCCAATATCTCAAGTCTTGCTACTTACAGTGATTCGGTCTCTTACATATGGTAAGTTGGGTTATCTCTACGAGTCATTCACATTTACTGCTCCTTTTCACCATTTATATTCCCGTTGTGCTCCACCCGCCCCACAAATACATTTCTTGACCCGCCCTGGATAAAAGGACATAAAATAGAAACAAGACTGCTCTAATGTATCTGGGCTGACAAGATAGGTGGACATTGCCATACACTGGAAAGCTTCAAAAACGGAAGATGGTTAATTGATTCAAGAGGCGCGATGAGACTGGTGTTCCAACAAATAAGGAGAGGAACAAAGAAGCAGAGGAGAAGAAAAGATACATTAATGAATTAATAATAGGCAAATTGTGGACATGTGATATTACACAACTACATGTGACTAACAGCCAGCTTATGATGTAAGGAATGCATAGCTAGGTTGAAATTTACTTTGGCCTCAATAATTTACACTCTTAATCAGATCGTTGCCCTGCCAAACACAATCAGACAACAACTGAGGCTGATGACTTAATGGTTTCCAAACGTGTATCAAAGGGTATTAATATCAAGGCCAAAATGCTGCATTTTGGTCTGTGTCTCCAGACATCGGGCCACTGTAAGTACTGTGATCACAGCCAAAAGGCCTAGTAACATCAGCCAGATTATAATAGCCATGCTCATCAGTCGCACTGTTATTATCACGGCCAGGTACATGGATATTATGGGATCAGCATCCAGCCGAGTCTCATCATCAACTGGGTGATACCTAAGCTAAGCAGAGACGCATGGTCGAGCTGTCACACATGACCTAACGGCCCATGCAAACAATCTCACAGCCTCATCATCCTCCTTCGGTCGGCCAATTCAGAACAAAACCTCCCATTTCATGTTACTTACCGATTCCGGGGGCGGAGTAGATGAAATATAGTACCGAGGTGGAGAGCGAAAAAAGGAATAAAAGCCCAAGGAATGACCTTCTCCGGAAACGCAAATGTGTCGGCATCATACAGGCAGCAAAAGCACACACAGGCACGTTTTGCTTTTTTCCAACGACGACTGACCAGCCCCGATGTGTCCAGATGCCTGAGCCAGCGAGTCCGTGGACGGTCTGGGCTAAAATGAGTCGAATCGAGCGCTAGGTCTGCGGCTGCAGCAGATGAACAGGCGACGAGGAAGTCAGTCTATTTCCGCGGCAGGTTGCAAAAAACAAGGATGGGAACGCCAGCATTCAGCCGAGACACTTGAGTCCCATTCCTGAAGAGAAGGTGTCGGTTTAAATTCGGGGTATGTCCTAATGGAAGGGAAAATGGCCAGCGAAAATTTCGCGGATTAAGGGGGCCTGGTGGGCTCAACGCGAGACCATCCTTTCGGTTCCACCGATGGTGTTTCTTCCACTCTTCGTTTTCTGCTGCCCGCCTGCCCAACCCTATGAATGGAGCGGTCTCTCCGCAGAGAGAAAAAAGAGCAATACCTCAAGTGGGCGTTAACGCGGTAGCTCCTACTCAACGCAAAGTACGTACGGCGTAGACGACGTAACCTGGCAACCAACGTTGGAATAAAAAAAGCCTTCTTGATAACCTTCTCTACGTTACTGGAAAACTAATGGCATATTGTATGACCGTAAGCTAGTTGTCTCAGCCAAGATTATAAGACATGGATTCACTGACTGATTAATCATTTCATTTCAGTTAAATCAAACTTCTCGATTCTTAAAACTAATCTGTCATTCACAGGATTAATTATTGGCCGAGAGTACTTATTTATTCTTAATTCAGTAAGTAAAAACGGAATTTAACACAAAGTGCCACAATGCAACACATACGAAGAAAATACGTGTATATTTAAGTAAGGGATCATTTAAAAAAAGGTTATCAGAAATCCAAGTTTTCATTTCTGATGTGATTAGAGTGTGATTATTTCACAAAAAAAAAATATATTTAGTTTTCAAAAGCAATGATAAGAAAAACTGAGTAACTTGGGGGAGGAGAGCCGCAAAGGCAGTTTCGACACTGTGCTCTAGGGTGTGAATCATATAAAACCCCCTACTCCTGCCTCCCAAAAGATCTCCCACTATATGAGAATCACCAGCAAAGCACTGTACTTAGAGTTCCTTTGTTGCTTTCAGTGGCGCCACCATAGGAGGGATGGGTCGGGGGTCAATTTACATAAGAAATCATTCCAGAGTGCTTTCTATCTACAAAACCTAAGCAGCAGATATGGTGAGTTCTGTGAGGTTCAGAATAAAATTTAAGAGTTTATTTTAAGGGAATATTATAAAACTCAATTTTCTTTTAATATGCAAATGAACTAAGTCACCCTGGTCTTACATACATGATATATAGTTTAAATTACTAATTCAAGAAACGACACGTCATTGCATTTATTTATTTATTTATTTATTTATCTATCTGAAATTATTCAATAGCTTTCTGTTTCACTGTATGCTACCTCAAGATTATAAACGCTCCCCCAGATGCTCGGTTTCTTTGCTTTGCTACTGAATTTGTTTTTACATATTATTTACATTTGTTTATGTTTGTTTTGCATCTGTTTTATATCGCCTATATTAAATGAGCTAAAATACTCAAACAAAAAAGGACAACTTTTTTCCGTGTTTTGGGGGATTGGGAGTACTGGATTTGGGAACCGATATACTTTCCCGAAACCCACTACCCGGAGTATGGGGCTGTAAATAAACAGGAATATAAAATTCTATAGATACAACCTTTCTCTCATAGTACCCATAATTTCTTAGACATTTCCCAGTAAACTATTTAAAACGTCATGTTTTTATTTCCTCAGCTGAATAAACACTGTCTGTTACATTCAAATAACACCTTAGGGGGGTTCTAGTTATTTCGAATAGGAAGACAGTTTTTTTTTTGTTTTTTGTTCGTTTTAAAAGCAATTCCAGGATTAAAATATTATAAATGACATCGCAACATAATGCAACACAGTGAGCTAGAAAGAAAAATTAAATAAATTCGGCCTTTCAATGAGAAAGAAATACACTAATAAAATAAATAAGTCATAATTACATTTAATTAGTCTTATTTATATAAATTTGAGGAAACAAACATGTTGAAAAAACATAACTTATATATACCTATCTCAGGATTAAAATAATCATGAAATGATGTGAATAAGACAAATTTAAACGATTAATGACAAGAACAAACAACTACTTATCTTTTCAGTTTTCTGCGTGACGTGTGAAGCAGAGGGTTGACGGTACAGTGCAATGCTACATGGGAAATGTAGTCAATAAAAATATAATCAGCGTTCACATGATATTTTACATACATTTTTGGGGGGGGGCTTAACATTGACTACAACAAAAAAGCATGTGCACATTTCCTACACAAAACATGCGCTCAACTGCGTCTGATTTTTTTACTTGGGTCGTTTTACTGTGATCAGTACAGCTCTGGTTGTCGACTACAACTCCCATCAAACATTTCTGTAGGAAGTAAGGCCGTGATGTCAACAGATACACGAAGCTGAAGATATGAATCCGTCTGTCTTTTTTAATGCAACATATTGTCTTTAGGCCTAAAAACAGTTAGCTGAGAATGAGAGACGTTAGGGTTAAACTTTTTTCGTGGTTCTTGTTACTATTTTTCGTAAAGCTGTGCGTGTCAGACATACTCGAAAAGCCCAACTCTGTGGATCTTTACAAGAGAAATGACAACGGCGAGGAGAATGTGCTACATAAGAATAATACTCCACTTCAAGACAAGCAGATACTTCATGGTCAAAAAGAGACACAACAGAATAAACTTGGCTCAACCAACTCGCAGAGCGACGGGAAGCTTTTCAGGTTGTTTGTCTTTTTCTGTTTTACCTACTGTAACTACGCTAGCAAGACTTTTTTTTTCTTGTCTTGTCACTTTCTCGACTATAACCCTTAAATCCCACATTCAATAACAATCTTTTCTGTCCTATAAAGAAAATGTGTGCATTTTATATAAAATAGCGGCGACTGTTTATCTCAGGTCAAAGTGTCCCTGAATGTGGTAACACCTAAAACGGTATAATATTCAGTCTAAGATGTGTTTACCTTATGGCTGTTTATTGTATCACGTGGTCAGTTTTGGCTGACAATAAGCATAAAGCCGCCATTATACCTGTCATCTTCACTGTTCTCTTCCAGAGAGTCCAATGAAACTACTGAGAATTACAGCAATGAGACCCATCACTCCACAGCAGCTGCTGCCAAGCCAACCACACCAGCACCCCCAACTCCGAAGCCCATCCTTCCTGTGCAGACCGGGGTGAAGGCCCAGGAGGAAGAACAGTCCAGTGGACTGAGTATTTTCTTCAGTCTGCTTGTCATTGGTGGGTTGCTATTCATTCATTTTATTGATTAATCTGACTTGGGCATTTCCATACATCTGCAGAATCAATACGCTATTACAGTTGTTGCAGTGTTATCTGTATAATTTATTTAGTTTGATTTTTGGGATGGACTGAAGCAATAAAAACAACAAAAAAAAACAAACAAACAAAAAAAAAAAATCAAAACACTTCTTAAAGTAATAGTGGAAGTTGACCAGGCTAACAATAGGTGAGTATTTGTCTGGCTGCTTATTTTCGCCTACTTAACAAATGTTCCACATGTTATCGGTGTTACTTTGAAAAGTATGATGTCTGAGGGCCGCCCTGCTATGACGACCCCACCCACTGGAGCTGTTTGTCAATTGTAATGGAAAACCACCCAAACCGTATAGAGTTGAGCTGAGTTCAACCATGCTGTGAACATGTAGTGGAAAAGGGGCTTTAGTTTCTACCACACCACAGCAGCCCATAGGCTCATGACCTCAAACATGTCCAGCCAGCCAACCCTCAATTGTTTGTGAGGGGACATTTTTAGCAGTCTTCTTTCAGATAGCCAATCAGCAGTCAGCAGCAACAGGTGAGGAAGGGTCAGTGCTGCCTCAGTCTTGCCTAGAAGTAGCAAGAAACAAAACTGGTCATTTAGGGTCTTTCTCTGACATTTGACTTAAATTATAAGGAATGCTTTTACATACCATTTTGACTTTACTTGTTTATTCAGTTGGCTAACCTGTTACTACTCTGAATTTAGTTTTGTTTATTAAATTGAGATTAGCTGTTGAATTTGCTTCTTGTACTCTGAGAACTGCTTTCCAAGTAAGTATAGCTGTCTCTAAAAAGATTAAGGTAGTACTCTTAATCTTTATTAAAATATAGATATTTTTCCCTTTTACTCTGTGGGATCACTACATTATTATTCTTTAACAAACTCTGGTGTAGAGAAGCAGCGTTGTTTGCGATCTGAAGGTAGAGTAGCTGAAGATTAGTGCATGAGAAACCATTTCAGAGTTCAGTCTTACAAACCACACATTAGGCCTAAATGGCGTATCGTTTGCTGCCACAATTTTGTTGCTTGTTTAACAAAAAGCTTTGTTGGTATGACTAGACTACTTTTTTTTCCTGCCTGTGAAATAGAAAGAAGTTAGTTTGCTTTTGAGGTTGTTGCAACTGTTTCTTCCCATGCAGTCAAATACATGATTGCTTGTGTGAAATAGTGCCAGTATCTTCGAGAGCAACCCTTGGCAAATAAATATGGGATCACTATATTGCAGGATGTTTAATTAAGTGTTTAGCCTTTCAAAATATCCCTCAGTAAAAGTAAATGTCTTTTTTTAATCAGATTATGTTATAAAATTTAATAAATTCAGTTCAGAGAATAAAAGATAAAAACTATCTTGATTTTTTTTTTTCCTTATTCAAGTAATTTTAATAGTTAATTAAAAATGAATCTTGTCTCTGACCAAAAAATGTTATAACTTCAAGATTATTCTCACTGAAAATCTGTTTTGGAAAACAACAAAATGGTACACGGCAGTCATTAATTTTGTAAAGCTCATCTAATTTCTGGGTTGTTTAATATTTTGCTAAATAAATTAGCTCTTTCTACGTTCTACTTTTATATGCGCCTTTGAAAATTATTTAAATGTCATTACGTACCAATGCTATTTCTTCATCCCTCTACTCACTGCAGTTATCAGTCAAACATCTAGAAAAGCCTTTGTAGCGGCATATTAGGTAGTAGCTTTTTTAGGCCTGATGTGAGCAAGTGTGACATCATCTTCTGAACAAAGATGCATTTGTCCTAAATAGTCATTCAGTTGTCTCCTACATCCTCTCTCCCTCAGGTATCTGCATCATATTGGTGCACCTGCTTATCAAGTTCAAGCTGCATTTTCTTCCTGAGAGTGTGGCTGTTGTGTCTCTTGGTAAGTGTCGCTCGTGTAACTTGCTGCTTTGTGCACAAATATGTACTTGATTGAACAGTTTCAGTATTTAACGACAATTCTGCGCAAATATTAAGAGCAGGATAACAATCGGAAAGCAGAAAGGGTGACGCCAGATTATATTGTCAGAATCCGCTTCATTGGCTAAGATTGTTTGCACAAATATTTGACTTTTGATTTGAAACATTCACAGTGTACAAAGTGCAAATATATTAATTTTACAGGAAACAAAGTTCATTTATACAGCACATTTCAGCACCTAGTCAATTGAAGGTACTTTTACATGATGTAAATAATAAACAAGCAAGAAACATACTTTTTTTTCAAATGTCATAATCATCAGCATAAATTATAATAAATTATAGCTGTAGTTGCCTGATTGACTTTGTAGGCAGTGTAATCCATTGGAGACAGCTTTATTACAAGCCCCAGGTTTTAGCCC